AGGCTGAGGCAAAATAAAAATGCTACTAAAATATAAAGACACAATAGAACATTACTACTGAATTTGGTTAGGCTATTAATGTTCCACTATGTTACACATACCCTTTCCATTACTTAGGTAAATGTAAACATTTTCTAAGCCAGTGAAAGATTTTGTGGACTAGTATTTTAACAATTCAAGATAATTCTATTGTAATTATCTGTGTGTGGGGAGGATACATTTTCTTTTATTCGGTGTAAAAGACAAATAGATGCTCTGTCTACCCTCCCTCTTCTCCCCCATCCCTGTCACCTGAGTACTTGAATACTAAGTAAGGATGGTTTGATTCACTGTTACTAGAAATTTGGATTTCCATGAAACTAGTGGGAATATAAAAATAAATGAAATCTCACATCTTTCCCTACACGTGTTGGGGCAGCACTCTATGCAGAGACTCTGAACTATATCACCTTAGTCCTTGTACAAAGGATGAACTGAGCATGGGTCACTTTAGAAAAAGTAGAAATTTGTACTTCCATTCTGAAGTTTTCTACTTAAAGGGGTGGGTTTATCTGGGTCTCATCAAGAACACGAGGCACAACATTATGAAACAAAACAGACTTTCTACCTTGCTTAAAAAAATACTAGGAGCAAATCAATGCTTCTAATGTGGGGTGGGTACTGCAGATTGCTTACCCCAAAGCCAATCTCTTCTCTTCAATATTCCTACAAGACTCCCCAGGTTTGTTCAAATGTTGTGCTGCTGGGTGTTTTAAAAGAGGCTGAGCCCCACTGTGACCACCAGAGGTGAAGCTGGTGGGTAAGTCATCGTGGTATTTCGTTACCTTTGGCAAAGACTGGTTTAGGAAAGGACATTTGGGAAATTGTGACCAATGAACCAGAGAGGAAGTCTCACTGTGGGCTTTTAGGGGAAAGTCTGCCTTGATCTACAAAAAGGAATTGAGGAAAGGTGATATCTTCTTCCCTTGTTTTAGTTTTTGGACATTATTGTTTGAGGATGTGATAGTTGGAGCCACTGCCATAATCTTGGGACCCAACTTACACGGTTTTTGCACTGAAACTTAGCTATCTCTATCTCAATGGATTAGATGAATATAGTCTAATGAAACCTTGGAGATTGCCTGTAGTCCCAGCTACTTGGGAGGCTGAGGCAGGAGAATCGCCTGAGCTCAGGAGTTGGAGGTTGCTGTGAGCTGTGACTCCACAGCACTCTACCAAGGGCAATAAAGTGAGACTCTGTCTCTAAAAATAAAAAACAAAAAAAAAGGAAAGCTTGGAGATCATCAGATTCAACTGTCTTATTTATTTTTGTTAAGCCAGGTTCCATATTGTTTGTCTTATTAATATTCTTCAGTGGAAATCACAACTACTAAGCCAATCAATATGTTTAGGAAACAGTGATGAATATGGATATAATCTAATTATTTAATTAGGTGCCTAAAATTTATGTGCTATTTTAGAGACTTATAATATGATCCCTTTAACTATGTAAACATTTCCAGAATAGTATGCTTTCAGAGTTAATTCAAAGAGGTGGATAGCTTATTTTTAGGATATTTTATAAACTAAGACTAAGCTTATTGAGATAGGTGAATGTAACATGTACAGAATTATAAAGATGGGCTTGGTGCCCTGTTCAGCAGCTAGGGCACTGGCCACGTATACTGGAGTCTGAGGGTTCAAACCTGGGCCTACGAAACAATGACAATGACTAAAAAATAGCCGGGTGTTGTGGTGGACGCCTGTAGTCCCAACTACTTGGGAGCCTGGGGCAAGAGAATTGCTTAAGCCCAAGAGTTTGAAGTTGCTATGTGCTGTGATGCCATGGCACTCTGTCTCAAAAAAAAAAAAAAAGAATTGTAAAGATGGCTAGCAATGCTTTTAATCTTGTCACAAGTATTACAATTTAGCACCAATAATTTATTGTTTGCCATATGCTGCATCCTATGTAAGGTTTTAAATAACTTCATATAGTTCTCACGACAACTCAGGTAAGCATTGCCATCATACCCATTTTGTGGATGAAAATTTGTGGTTAGGTGAGGTTAAGTAGCTTGCTCGAGGTCACAGAGCTAGTAAGTAGAAAAACCAGAATTTGCATGCTGACAGCAAAGCTCAGACTCTGAACTTAAAATCCTTACAGTCTTCTGCCAAAGAATCAATATAACTTATTCTTGGTTGAGGCATATGGGTCTCTACTTAATAACTACTCCCCTTTTCTCCTTTTCTATAAAACCCCTATTTTGGGGGTAGAGGTGGGGATTCACAACCATTTTAATGAGCTGTGGTAATCCCATTTCCTTTTTTCAGTGACTGGTCTGACACAGCATAGTGACCATCTTCTACCCAATAAGGGAGATTCCACTAGGGAGAAGTCTGGAAAAGAGTTTTCTCCTTTATAAAAATGGGAGCCGCACTTCCTTTTCTTCCATTCTGTTTTGTACAAAGATGTCAAGGATGTGATATCTGGAGCTGTGGCAGCCACATTGCAATTAAGAAGTAACAAGTCCAGAAGATAAAAGCCAACATGCATGTGATGGCAGAAAACAAACACAAAAAAAGAGATTAGATTCTTGGTTACATGATTGTGCAGCTCAACTACCTGAAACTACCTGCACTTGAACTTCCTGTTAAAGATGTAATAAATGACCTCATACTTTCAGCTACTCTTTATTGGGTTGCTTGTGGCCAAAAGCATTTTAAGGAATACAATTTAGGCAAGGAAAGATGTTTTCCCAGAGTTTCAGCAAAACTCAATGATGTGCAGGGAATCAACATTTCAACCAGGAATCCATTAGTACAAGTAGCAGTTCAGAAAAAAAAATACTCCAGCTTTGTCTCAGATCTGGTTAAATTTGAGCAACCCACATCATTATCTGTGCTGGGTATTTCCGTTTTCCCTCTAGATGCGGCTTCCTTTTTCCATGAACCTTACTGATACAGACTGCACCAAAAGGCTCTCTTGCCCTCTAGCCTCTGGTTGGATTTGGCCATTGGGGTGCATCAGCAGGTGACTGGAGAAGGATATTGAGATAAAAATTCCCTAGCTTCTTCCTTGAGTGATTTCGGGGGTGGAGAACCTGTCGCCTCAAGGCCCCATGTGGCCCTCCAGATCCCCAAGTGCCCCCTGACACTTCATAGAACAAATCACTTTATTAAGTCTGACTGCATCCATTGACTGAAGGGCAAGCTCCTGTTAGGCAGCTCTCTCAGCGTCTGAGTTCTGGTAAATGTTCTACAGATCTAGGAGCTGTGGCCCCAGGGTTCCACACTTCCCTTGTGGTTTCCCACACCCTGCCCACATCTTTGTAAGCATGTTTGTTTCCTGCCAGGACCCGTACTGATACAATGGTGTGAACAAAATCACTGCAGCTACTGAAGCCTGCACCAGTCCACCTGAGATGTGGTGAGGTTCTGTGAGTTATTCATAGTTTAAATAAAGGCTTTCTCCTACCATTAAAGTGAGACAGGAGACTACATAAATAAATGTCAAGTCCTAACATCGAACAAGGTCTCATAGGTCAGAGAAAACACTTTCTATCTGAGGGCAAGAAATCAGCGAAGGCTACTTGGGAAAGAAGGCATTTGGGGTAAGGATGGATAGGATTTTTAAAAGACATGAGACAAAGGGCATTCCAAAGACAGGAAAGAGTCAGGAAGGAGAGAAAGCTCAAGAGGAGTTTCTGAATAATTAGAGCTGTAAGGGATCTAAGATATCCCTATTCAAAGTTAGTTCTCCCTCCACCTCCTTTACAGATGAATAAACTTGAAACAGATTTGGCCAAGGTCAAACAGCAAGTAAGTAGCATGCCAGGACTCCAACCCAGGTCAGCTCCTAATAATCTACCTTTTACCTCCACCCCACCCCACTCACCTCAGGCAATCTACTTACATGTCAGTCTCTCCCCCTAGACTGTATGTAACCTTGAAAGCAGGGCCACTGTTTTTTTCATCCTTGAACCTCAGTACCGAGCGCAATTGTTATCTGACATAAAATTGTTAAGAAGCCTCCATCTTTTGCCAGGCACTATGACGACAGTCCATATGTATTTTATATAATCTTCACAACTACCTAGACCGGTAGATATAACTATCAACACTTTTCTGGTAAGGATGCTACAGTTCAGAGAGGTTGTTTAATTTGCCTGAGGTCACACAGCAGTTAAGTGTAGGACTCCGTTTTACCTTTCATCAACCACACTCCTTAGCCCTTTGTGGAATGAATGAACGAACAAGAATCAAAGTAAGCAAGTCTGGCCGGTCGGGACGCGGCACAATGTCTTCCAATCTAAGCACACCAGTCCCCTTCTGCTCCCCCAGCACAGGATGGGAGTCTGTCTTGCTCCCCAGCCACGCCCCCACTTCGGGGAGTTCGGCTGCTCTCAGTGTCCAGGTTTGCCTTGACTCCAGCTGCCCCGCGGACGGCCTCTCCGGGTGCAAAGACCAGCAGCCAGCCCCACTCCCCTGTCCCTCCCATTCACCCCCCTCACTGTCCAAACTTCTTTTTTCCACCCTCTGTAAACTTCAGTCATTCTAGTACCCGCCTCCTCCACTCCCTCTAACCAATCAGTGATTTCTATTCTCGCTAGGGCTCCGCCCCCTGTCCGCCGGGGGCCAATCCTTGGAGCAAGAGTCGAGTGCTGGGGATCGTTCCCCAGCGCCTGGCCTGTGACGGCAGCGCGCCGGGCGCCGCGCGGCGGGAGGGGGCGGGGCTCTGGATGAGGGATGGGCGAGGGCGGGGGGAAGGGAAGAGGGAGGAGGAGGTTGCGGCGGGTTTGAAAGCGGCAGTTTCCTGGCAGCTTGGGCAGGCGTTGGTCTCCGCGCTACTGCTCCGCAGCCGCCACGATCGATCCATCGACGGCTCGACGCGCGCTTCTGCGCGCCCCCGACGGATTTTTCCCGTTCCGGCTCTTCCCCCTTTACCTCCCCGCCCCCCGGCCCCTGCCTTTCCCGCCGCTCCGGCGCGGAGCCTGGGGGCCAGCCGGCGGCAGTGACCCCGCCCGAAACCCCTTCTGGAACCGCCTGGGGACAATTCTCTTTTCCTTTCTTCTGGCTAACCCGCGGTGGCCACCGCGGAGTCAGCCCCGGGGAGCGCAGCCAGGAGGGGTGTCCGAGGGGCGTCTCGGGATTGTGGCGGCCGGGCCCCCAGCAGGCTGTGGTCCGAGGGGACGGAGCACCGAGGCCCCCTGATCGGGCTACGCGGGCCGCCTGGGGCCCCCGGGCTGAGAGGGGGCCGGAGCGGCACCCCGGCCGCCCGCGCGGGGTCTCCCCCATGGTGCAGCGGGGTTCGGGATGTCTAAGACGCTGAAGAAGAAGAAGCACTGGCTCAGCAAGGTGCAGGAGTGCGCGGTGTCCTGGGCTGGGCCCCCGGGCGACTTCGGCGCCGAGATCCGGGGTGGCGCGGAGCGCGGCGAGTTCCCCTACCTGGGGCGGCTCCGTGAGGAGCCCGGCGGGGGCACCTGCTGCGTCGTCTCGGGCAAGGCGCCCAGCCCAGGGGATGTGCTGCTGGAGGTGAACGGGACTCCTGTCAGCGGACTCACCAACCGGGACACCCTGGCTGTCATCCGCCACTTCCGCGAGCCCATACGTCTCAAGACAGTAAAGCCAGGTACGCCGGTCCTCTCTTTCTGTCGCCGAGTGGCGTGGGGGTGGGGGGAGGTCCGGGGTGGGTGTCCTGGGAGCGGCGGCACCACCCCTCTGTGCATCGCTTTGGGTAGTCGTACACATCTAGGGTGTGCCTGACTCGCGGGCGAGGTAGATGGGTGGCGGTGGTGATTCCCATTTTGCCGGTGGGAAAACTGAGCTCTGGCTTGGCAGGGCTGCTATGCGAGCTGTCGTAGAATTGCCATCAGAAGCTGGATTTCCTAAATTTGTAGCTTTCGACTCTCGCCGCAAACAAGAGTTTTTGACTAGAGAAAGCCAGCCCTTTTCTGCTGTCTTTTGTGCACAAGGTCCTTACGATTGTAGCATATTCTTTGGAACGGTCTCATGCTTTTCCTAACATGGGAGGGAAAAGGTTTTTATTTTTGAGGCAGTTGGTGTCAAGGTTACCACCTAGCGTACCTGGGAGGGCTTAGCTGCTTCAGTGTTTCTTGCACACTAGCAGATATCTCGGTGCTGACAAACCTAACTCTGTCAGTCTTGGTGGTTCAGGTGTCTGGGTACGGAGGAAGGTACGGTACGTGATATGTGGCAGAGTGGTGTGTTCTTGCTGGAGATGTTGAGTCGAGTCTGTGTTTTGAAGGAAGATCTAGGCGCCTAGCTGAGTAAAAGCTTTTGTAAAGCTTTTGATTTTACAGAATTTTGTTGAAGTGGTAGATTAAAAGAGTCCCTGTTGCCCTGGTGTCTTTTATGCTAGTAAAATCTGCTGCAAAGCCTGTTACGTTTATGGCATACTTGTCAGTCTCAAAGCATTGATCAGACAGCTGTGAGATCTGATAGTATGTAGTAGTCCTTATGCATCTGTTATCGGCAGCATTGTTTGACCATTTCAACATGGGGAGAACGTGATTCTGTCTTCTGAGATGTTTGCAGGAGAGAGAATTATGATTAGAAGAAATCAGACTGTTTTGCTGAATGTGCTCTACTGAATATTTGGTCATCAAAATTGAATGGGCTTCTTAACTGTGACCTGAACTAGATACCAGTCCATTTCTTCACCACAAAGTGTTTGAAAATTCTGGAGAAAAATTTAACATATCTCCCTCACATTTTTTTTTTCTTTCTTGGCAGCTCACTTTGGAAATATATTTTAAATTGTCCTTGAGCTTAATTGGAACTGATGACTTGCCTTGCAATTTACGTGTGTGTTGTGGATATACTATATATACATACATACAAGATCCTACAATCTTAAATACAGATTTTCTTCATATGGCCTATTCCATCATATTCATTTTCAGTGTATAGGTTCATGTGAGGTTTTCTTTTCATTGTTGTTAATTCTTTTTTTTTTTTTTTTGAAAACTTTGGCAGCCTTTAAACAGCTTTTCCTGTATAGTTCTGAGAATTGTAAAATTCTTTCTTCACTCAAACTTTTAGAGTCATATGTGAAGGATAGAGGAAAGGCTGTAACTTAGGCACTGCAAGATTGTATGACAACATTTACTAGCCTAGGTGCCATTTAGTTCAAATCCCATGAGTCAGTGAATAATGATAGTCATTGCTTTTTGTTTTGTTTTGATTAGTTGGGGGCATAGATAGAAGTATAACTTATTTTAAAAAACAATCTTAAAGTTGATATATTGATGTGGAAGCAAGTGTATTCCAAGTTATGATTTTTTTAGAAAATTGGAGAGATGGCTATTTGATTAACATTAATCTGGTTTACATGTTTTACATTTTCTCCACCTTTATATCAAATTTATGAAAATAATTCAAGGTAGAGAGTGTGTTTAGTAATATTAATTGTATTGAGTGAACATTCTGTGCCCCAGAGTGTAGTTGACATTTTTACAGTAATAAAATTTTACCTTCTTGACAGCCAAAGACACTGCCCTAATTTAAATATTTAGCCAAAATAAAGGGAATAACTTATATTAATGGCTGTAGAACACTTTGTAATGATTAATAATAAAGTTCTGAATACTACACTTATTTTTTAAAGATGCGCTCTACCTTAGTAGGACATCATTACGTCTATATGTCTTTTTAAGTAGGTTGTAATTTAAAAATAGTAATCTCTTTTAAAAACAGTATTCTGAATTTCTTAATGTCATGTTAGATGCTGTATTAAATGGCTTTTTAAACGGGCGTTGTGTGAAAGCAACATTTATTATAAAATAGCAAGATTTTTGCAGGTTAAACACAAGACTTTAAGTATTAGAAGTTAAGAACTTGAAGAGGTTATTTGTAGAACTTTGGATTTGGTGAAAACAACATAACTATTATCGCCACAGGAGACAGATTCTGTACTGTTGTTATTTATTTTGGAAGGATGAAAATACCGAGTAAGGGAATTTAAGAAGAAATTTGCTGGGCACATTTCCCCCCTTTTTAATCTGAAGTCAGAGAAACGGACTTTTCAGTTTACTAAGGTATTGTAAAGTGTATTTAGCACTCTTTATCTCTTGTCTTGACTAGTAGCTTTTTATTTGACGGTATTTATAGCATGTCATTTAGGAATTAGCACAATGTAAGAGTAAAATCTAACTGCCTTGGTAAAATGTAATCCTAATAGGGAATGATCTTACAGAGTCTTCCAATGAGTCCAAGGCAGAAGGATGAGCTTGACCTTAGGATGTGGCCGCTGCACCATTGATTTCTTCCTGGCTTCCTCCTTTCATCCAGTTCTAGTGGATGTTCAGGGGAGGCTGCCCAGTCCCAGTGCCATCAACCAGATGACTTAATGAAGGCTCTTTCTGGCAGTCATTGTCTTTAGCTTTGGTGTGCTCTTTTTCTTTCTTTTGTTATAATCTTTAATGGGTAATTGAAAGTAACTCTTTAATGTAAGGTTCCTGATCTGAGGCTTTTCCTGAATGGATTAGGGACTTTCTTCTTAAGTTTTAGCGTCCCCGGAGTACTTAGCAGTCAGCCCTTTTCCTGCTTCTAGGGGAATCTTTAGTTTTACATGTTCCTTGGCCCAGCAAGTCACCAGTTTCTTGATTATGACTGTTGTTTATTTTTCTGCAAAGAGAAGAATTGTCATTTGAATTTGAACTTTGTATTTTCCCCGTAGTAGAGGAAGTTGAACTTTGGACCTGTGGTAGAATTGTTTCATGATACAGTCCTATGACCAGGATTAATTTCTTTCATTTTACTGCGGAGTATATTTTTAAACCATTTCTATGCTGATTAATGGCACAGGTACTTAATTTTGTTCTAAAATTTCCCAAACTGTGAATGTGCAGACCGTTATGGAGTATATAAATATTTGCTTCTTCATGTACTTTTAAGCACATATTTCAGCATGGAGTTTATTCCAGAGATTAAATATTGATACAGTTAAGGGCATGAAATTATTATCTCTTGCCTTATTATGCATACATCTCATTCACCCACCCTGAGTCTGGTGGTATATCCAGGGATGAAAATCACAAGGAACAATATTATAGGTTGTTTAAATAAAAACTAAGTTGAAACAGATCTGGCATAATGTTAATTAAATGTATGTAAAAGTCTTAATCTCTGACTCTGGGACATCTGATTTATAAGGGAATTTTGTTAAAATGAGCTCATTTCTAGAAATCCATTCCCCATTGGTGAAGAAACATTGTTGGATGCTTTTAAATAAGAAATGTCGATGCTGTTGAGCTATTAAATAACTGTGTCTTTTTTCTTGTTACTTGTGCATCTTTTTGTTAGTTTTTTGTTGTTGTTGTTGTTGTTGTTGTTGTGAGTAATTTGGGATTTTTGGTGAGTTTTGTTTAGTAAGGTAATATTTGAAGAAGGGAAGGGTAAATGAATTTCGAGTTGATTGCTCACCTCCCAGGTTTGCAGTATAGTTAATTCCTTGGTACCATTTTTTGAGCAATGGGAACTAGAGATTGGAAGAGGCAGCTCCTTTGTTAGGGAAAGGAGCATCAAATGTTGGTAGCAATTTGATTTTTGCTCCACGGGCCTTAATAACTTAAGAGTTCAAGTTCTGAATTATGTTCATTGACATCTCCCCATCTTATGAGTAATGGGCTTACACCATAGCTGCAGAGCTCTCATTCACGTCAATTTGATGACTCTTATTATATCAATCACTTTGTACTTGAAAATGTTTTTTCTATCCCTTTCTTGTAGGAGAACTGTGTCCACATATCTTAGATATTTATATTTATTTTTATCTTCTGAAATTTTGAGAAATAATTTTCTTGAAATATAGTATGTCACTTTGGTGGCTTTATCCATCCTGCCCTCACCCTGAGACCTTTTATAATTTAGTTGTTAACATTTTATTTTCTTAGGTTGGGGTATTTTAAAACTTCTTTAATTTCTGGCTACCTTAATGGTACAACAAATATTTGTCCCTTTTAACTTTCAATTGTCTTTAATTTTATTCAGTTTCTTGCTAAAACTGATTTTCATGGAACATGACTCTGTGTTCCTGGGGAAGAGAAATTATTTTTCCTCTGAGATCTTGGTATTTGCTTTGTAAAACCTCTTATGAGAGATAAATTTTAGGGATTTTTTTCCCCCTGTTCTCTAATTTATGTAAATTGATGGTCAAACAAATCTAAATTTGTTCAAGGATCTGACTTACCAAGTCAGTGCCTCATCTTTTCAAGGGAATAGCTTTGTGTAGAGTCTTACTGTGTAATCCCCAGGTGAATTTTGGGGGCATTTAATGTTTTGGGAGTGTGTTAAAGGTGTATTAAAGGGAAGTGTGTGTTCATTGCTTTTTTCACTTATTTTGCTAACAGAATATCTTGCTAATATATTGCACTTGAAGAACAACTATCATTCAGAATGTTTTCCAAGAAATGGTGCTTAGTTTACTTTATGGAAAAATTAAAAGTTATTCTTTTGAAATGAACTATACTGGTACATGTTCATTTCCTCAATGAATATTCAGTGGGTCACCGACCATGTGCCGGCACTGGTGATATAAAATTGAGTCAGAAGAAACGGTGTGTCTTCAAGAAGCTTACAGTTTGGTGTGAGCTTAATGACTCATTGGTA